TAAAAAAGGGAAAGGGGAAAGAAAAGGGGCTTTAAATTTGTTTAAAAAATGTTTTAAAATTCCAAAGGAAAAAAAATTATCTTAAAAAAAAACTTTTTTTAAAAATTTTGTCTTTTTAAAAGTTTTTAAATTTTTTTAGATTGGGCAAGCAAAAAATTTTTTAAAAAAAATTAAAGAAAATTTTAATTTTTAGAAAAAAAGTATTTTTTACTTTTTAAAAACCCAAAAACATGTTAAAAAAAAGAAAAACCCTTTTTTAATTTTTTAAAAAAAGGGAAAAATAAAATTTTAAAATGGGGTTTAAAAAGAAATTTTTTTTTTTTATGCTAAAAAACCCAAACTTTGGGATTAAAAAAAAAATATTTTTTGGGGGGCATTTAAAATTATATAGGGGAATTTTTTCGCTGGGCTATTAATTTTAAAATTTTTTTAAAATAAGAAAAAAAAACTGTGGGCCCCGTTTTTATCTAAAAAAAATTTTTAAAAAAAGTTAAAAACCTTTTTCCCCCCAAATTTTTTATCGGCCCCTACTTTTTTTTAAAATAAATAAAAAATTTGTCCCCGAAAATTTTAAAAAAAAAATATTTAAGGTATTTTTTTTTTTTCATTAAAAAACCCCCTGTTTCTTTTTAAATGGGGCGGAGTTTTTAGGGCCCGGGCCCCTTTAGGGGTTTTAAACCCCCCCTTTTCCCAAGGGTTTGGCCCAAAAAAATTTCCTTTACCCCTGGGGGGGGAAAAAATTTTTTTTTTTCAGTTTTTAAACTTTTTTTTGGGGTGTTTGTGTACTCCCTTATCCAAAAAAAATTAAAATTTCTGTTTTATTTTCCCTTTTTAAACCCCCCGGGGGGGGGGGGGGGGGGTTTGGAAAAAGTTTTTCTTATCAACCTTTTGAAAAAGAAATTCAAAAATTAAAAATGCCCTAATTTTTTCAAATTTCTTTTTTTTACTTTCCCAAAAGGGGTTTTTAATTTAAATTTAAAAAAGGGTTTACAAAATAGTTTGGGAAAAATGGAACTTTTTCAAAATTTTTACTTTTTTTGTTTTTAAATTTTTTTTGCCTTTTAAGGGGGTTTGGGGAAAAAATTTTCTATTTTTAAATTTAAAAAGGGGTGGGGGGGGTTTCAAAAAAAGATTTTATTAAAAAGGAAAAACGGTTTTTTAAAAACTAGATTTAAAAAAACAAATGAAAAAATTGGGGGGATTTTCTTTTATTTTTTTTTTGTAAGCCGAATTTTTTAAATTTTAAATTTAAATTGTAAATGGGGCCCTTTTAAAATTTTTGTATCTAAAAAATTTAAAATTTATTGATGGAAAAAAAAAAAACTTATTTTAAATTTTGTGTTTTTGGGGAAAATTTTTTTTTTTAAAAATAGAAAAAAGGGAATATTTTAATATTCCCCTTTTCTTTGGGGAAAAAAACCGCCCCCCCCCCCCCCCCCATTTTACCCAGGAAAATTTTTAGTTAAAATTTTTCAAAGGGGTTTAAAAATTTTTTTTTTTTCAAACCGCCAAAACCCCTTGGGTTTTTGGGTTTCTGGTTTTAAATTTTAAAAAAGCTTAATTTTAATAAAAAGGGAAAATTTTAAATTTTAAAAAGCCCCCGCCCAAATTTCTAACCCCCGTAAAACCATCAAAAAAAGGTCCAAAAAAACCGGGTAGAAAAAACAAGGAAAAAAAAACCCCCCCATTTTAAAAACCTTTATTTTTTTCAAATTTTCCCCAGGTTCCCATTTGGGGGAAAAACCCCCCCCCCCGGGGCCCACCCCCAAATTTTAATTTTATTTTCTTAAAATTTTTTATATTTTACTTTTTAAAAAAAATTTGGGAGAAATATTAGTATTTTAAAACATTTATAAACCGGAAAAATACATTTTTTTTTATTTTTTTTAGCAACAAAAAAAAATCAAAGTTACATAAATTTTAAAAAAAAAAAAAAAAAACATAATATAAAAAAAAAACCCGTTTATCAAAAATTAAAAAAATCAATTTTAATTTTAAATTTTAATTTTTAAAAAATCAAAAATTTTGTAATGGGGCGAAGGGTTTTAGAAAAGAAGGGGGATAGGATTAAAAAATTAAATTTTTAAACAGCCCCCCCGTAATGAAACCCAAAAAAAAACACAAATTTTAAAATTTTCAATTTTTTTTTTCACATGGGAAAAAAAGACATTTTGGCCCCAAATTTTTTTTTAAACATGCCCCGATTTTTTTGCCTGTTTTCAAATTTTTTTTTTGGGCCCCTATTTTTCAACCCCCAAAAAACCCCTACCGTAAACCGCCCCGAATTTTTCGAAAAATTTAAAAAAAACTCGGAAAATTTAAATTATTTTAAAGTCATTTTAATTAAAAAGGGTTTTTTTAAAAAAAACCCAAAAAATTCTAAAAATGAAAAAAATTTTAAAAGGGGGAAAAAATTTTATTTCCCTTTTTTTTAAATCAAAATTTTTAAAATTTAAAAAATTTATTTTAAATAAAAACGATACCCCTTTTTTTTTATTTTTCAAAATTAAAATTTAAATTTTTTACTTTAAAAAGGGTTTAAAACCTTTCCCCGGCCCCTTTTGGGGGAAATGTTTGGGAAAGGGGAAGGGGGGGGAAATAGGGGCTTTTCCCAAAAGTGGGAAAACCTTGGGGGGAAATTTTTAAAACCCGGAAAAAAAACGTTGGAAGGGGGTTGAAAATTAAAAAAAAGGAAGTTGTTTTTTACAAAAAAAAAAAACCAAAAACCCTAAGGGCAAAAACGAAAAAATTTTAAAAGTTTGGGAAAAATTTTTTTTACAAAAAAATTAGGGTTTAAAAAGGGAAATTTAAATTAAAATTTCTTGGGATTTAAAATTTAAAAAATTTTTCTAATTTAAACATAAAAAAATTAGTGCCAAACCCCCAACCGGTTTTTATTTTTAATTTAAACCCGGGGAAAAACCCCTTTAAAAATTTTTTTCCCTTTTTTTTTAGTTGGGGTTTTTGGGGTTTTATTTAAAAAAAATTTTTCCCATTTTTTAAAAAAAAAAATTTTTAAAATTTAAAATTTACCCAAAAAAAAAAATAAAAAAAAATAAAAATTTTTTTTTTCCCTTTGGTTTTAAATTTAAAAAAAACCCCAAAAAAAACCCTTTTTTAATTGGTTTACCAAAAGGGCCCTTTTTTTTTAACCCTTTTTTTATAGGGAATTTTTATTAATTTTTTTGGTTTTTGGCTTTATTGAAAAAAATAATTTTTTTTCCCAAACCCCCAGTTTAAAAAGGTCCAAAACAAAAAAGCATATTTGAATCGATATCAAAACAAATAAATTAAAATACCCCCGAAAATTTTCAATAAATACTCCTAAATTTTTAAGTAGGGCCCAAATTTAAACATAAACCGGGAAAAGGGAAAAACTCCCCCAACCTACTTGGGGACAGGGGCAAAATGAGCCCTTTAAATAAAAAAACCCCATTTAGGATATTAGGGAAAATTAAAATAAAAATATTTTTGATTTGGAAAACCCCCAACAAAATTTGGAAAAATTGGGGCCCCCGGCCCCTAAAAAGTTGGAAAATTAAAAATTTTTTAAAAATTTATAACCAAGGGAAAAAATTGGGGTTTTTTTTTTTGAAACCCTGAATTGAATTTTTGAAATTTAAAAGTAAAAACATTATTAACATGGTTTCCCTTTTAAAACCCAATTTCTGTTTGAAAAAATATTTTGAAGTTTGGGGGAAAAACCCCTTGTCCAATTTTTTTTACATTTGTTAAAATTTTTAAGTGCTTTTATTCTAGATAGCATATTAGGGATTTATTAGGTATTTAAAATAAGGCGAATACTCTATCACATTTAGCAAAAAATTATTTTTTCCAAAACTAGAAAACTTGAAGGAAACAAAATTTCCCGGGAGAAAATGATCGCAATAATAAAAGGGGAACATCTTAAAAAATTTTTGATCGGCATTTGAAAGCGTTTTTTTGCAAAGATGGTTTAAAGTTGTAAAAAAATTTTTTAAAAGGGAAACCCTTTTATACTAAATCTTCTGGGATGATTAAATAAAAATAAACTGATTAGGGGATAAGCACTAGTTTTACCCCCTTTTTTCCTGCCCCGGGAACTAAAAAATGATTATCCTTTTTGCAACCCATTATAAGTGAGCCAAAGATTTAGCCTGCCCACTTCCGGGGCATTTGGACCAGGGGGGGCCTATCCTGTTTGTAGATTAATTTTTGTATTTTGATATTGAAATCCCTTAAAATTGAATGGTTTAAATAGAGACTGTTCTAAATAAAAGCTGGACAAATCCTTTACACACATTCAGCAGAATAATGGTCAATGTTTTTTGTTGTAATATTGGAACTAAGAGCATGTTTATATTGTAGAAAAAATAAATATGAAGCCAACAATTTGATTATTGCATGAATTTCCTACATAAGTTGACAATATTTCTTTATGTTTGATGTAATCTTCAATGATTAGAATATGTAAGAGCCTTGAAGTTTGCAGAGTTGTCATATGGTATCTTGTTCCAGTCAGTATGTGGCTGCTGCCCTTTCCATGGGCTCTACCACCATTCCCTACCTTTAGCTTTTATTTTCTGTTAGAAAAACAATTCTGTGTTGTTTCAAACTAAGTATTTCAGTAACTTTATTTTAGAAAAGTGCATCATATTACTGTTCAGCCTTTTTTAAAACAGCGTCCCGAGAGCTATTTATAACATGTCAGTGATGTTCTTTGTAAAAACAGATAGGAAACAATTGTCCGCTTTACTTATTTAAATGTAGAGAGTGGTCCAGTAGATTAGAGGGTTTCCTTGTTGTTTAATAAAAATTATGTATTTTGTAGTCTGCATCTTTCCACCTTAATTCTTTTGATTTGACCTTTAAAGGTTTAATCTTAAAATTACATATTTAAGGTTTTACTGTTAGAAAAGCTGAAGGCTGTTTTAAAAGTGAAAAGAAAGAAAGCAGCAATGGACGACACATTTTTATCCAATCTTGTATGTATTTATCATCATAATCATGTCATGTTGTGTTTTATTGTTTTAGTCCATATCATCAGAGGATTCTATAAATTCTGCTAATATAAACAAGTACCTCGAGCCACCAAAAAAAGAAAACAAACCTTGGTGGGATGTTGATGATGACGACGATGATGACCAACCAGGTATGATTAATAACACAAAAAGTCTAAATCTTTACTTTTAAATTGTGTAGATTTTTTCCTTCATGAGTGCATGAAAATATTTTGTTTGACAAAATTTACAGAAATAGATATTATGAAAAAGTTGACAAATTTTATATTATGAAAAAAAAAACAACCTGTGAAGTTACAAAGTCAGTCTTAGATGTTATGATTATGATATAATGATTTTAAGTCTTGATTTTAAGCTTCTCTTGAACACTGATTAATTGTAACACTCTGATTTTGTATGTTATTTGTAATAACTCATGCTATAAGTTCTTAATATCAACCCTGTAATTCAGCTCCATTTCTTTCAGTAGTCCTTCAAAAACACATTTAAAATACCACAAATGAATTCCTTTTAGTAATTTTTCATGATGACTTTATTAAAAATTGACCTTTGTTGTGTAAATTTTAATAGGTCTGGGAGCTAGTCGTAGCTTCTTGAAGAAGAAGACTTCAGAAAATGGAGGTAAAGAAAGCAAGAAACCTGATGCCAAAGCTGCCCCTAAGGCAAAAGCTAGGAAAGATGTAAGTTCAGTTTATGATTGTTTTCATCATTTTATGTTCTTCCCGAAGTGTGTGTATTTGACTTATAAGACAGTTACAGAAGCACACCTCCTGATTCCTGCTAATTTTCATTGTGTTAAAATTAAAATATTGTGAAGTGAACAAAGAAAATAAATTACACATTTCAAACTGCACATACAATAATGTAATTTACCAGAAAGAGATTTAAATATGTAAAATAACGCTTACTGCTTTAGTAACACCGTAGAAATATGGTGAAAAAAATGGCAAAATCGGTCACTTATTGCACATAACATTGAAATTTTATTACAATCATGTACTTTTATCTTGAATCTATTTACATTTCTTCAAATCTCAGTCCAGTTTTCTCAAGATTGATTTTCTTTAACTATTTTGGCTCATCTGGAGGCATTCAGCTTTAATACAAAGTAATGTTTCAATTTGTTATTTATATTGAATTTGTAATAATATTATCATATTATTAAATAATCCTTCAACTTGCTAAATGTATTTAAAGATATACCTTTTATTACAGGTTAAAGCTCGTGGAAAACCTGAGGTTTCTATAAGTAAAGACAGTTTAGATGATAGTAAGTGGTGGCTTGAATTTCGTTAAAAAAAAAACAACCCAAATATGTAGGGTGTCCTCTAGGTGGCAGAGTCCTATAAACACAACACTTTGAAGAAGTAGTTGACAAACCTATTTCTTTGAATTAAAAGGAATAGTTTTAAAAAAAGTTTTTATAGAGCTCTTCGGTTAGAGAGTTATATACCAAACATTTTATTTTGCTACATTTTGGAATTTAGTTTTACATATTGTCCATCAATTTTTTAGAGGGCTTGTGTATTGCTTTTTTTTTTATAAAATTTTTTGGCACAGGGGTCTTTCTCCGCAAGTAAATGTAAAACCTGAATAGTTTACAACAAAACTAGTGGCCTTAATAGTATAGATGTACCTAAAGACCTTGATACAACTAAATCTAATTACTTGTGTTGTATAAGTTAACAAATAAAGTCTTCATAATAGAAATCAGTATATAGATAACATTTCTGTATTAATTTTGATGGTGTCAATATCGCTTATAATATCAACAATTTGTTAATAATTGCTATCATATAAAATCAGTTTCACAGGCAAATTTTAATATGATTTAATACAAATATTTATTTATATACCTAGTCTTTGAATGGTTGTTATAAAGTTGCTGTTTTTGTTTTAGTTTCAGAAAGATCTGAAGAAGACCATGGACATGTTTATAGGTAATTTGTAAAAGTTGAATAAACTTTTAAAACAGGATATACATATTTTAATGATATGGGAAGAAGTGTCCTTATTTTTAGGCATTTAAAATATACATACATAGTTTGTTCCAAAAGTGTGCAAAATACTTCAGTAAAATTTAAAATCTTTACATATGTAAATTCAATAAATTTCCTCTTTACATGCAAAATTTCATACATTTAATGATATGGGTTTATAAAAAACAGACATATGAAACTAAGGAGTATAGAAAAAGAAAAAAGCAACACAAGTAACAACATCTTTTTATAAGATACTTCACATGTCTTTTTAATCATAATTGAAACCATTACTTTACCTTGGCATTAAACAGAATTATACACCTTTATTCTGGTTCTTGTTTAACTATTGAGCATTGAAAACAGTTAAGACAGCTCTTGTTTATATATTGACTCTCAAGGAGTGTTTTTTTTACATGTATAAATTGGTTCAATAATGGTTTTTATACATTTTGTTTTATAGACCAAGAGTTCATATACCAGAGGACAGTATGGACAGTATCAATACAGGTAAAGAGATTCTATATGTAATAATTAGAGTTAAGAAACTGAAGTTTGATTGATGTCACTGCATAGCCTTAGTTAGCCTTTTGTTGTTTTGTCATTGTTTTACTGTTTGTATCTGTGTTTGTATCTACACAATTTATATGTTTTTCATTTTTAGCTCGACTATTCGAAGAATATGAGAGCTATTGTAGTCGCCCCGGCGTCGGCGTCGGCGTCCGCGTCGGCGTCTGCGTTGGTTAAAGTTTTTTGTAAAGTCAAATATCTCAATAATTACTTGAGATATTCAATTGAAACTTACAATACTTATTTATAGTAACAAGGTACATCAGATTGACAAGTTGGATAACTCTGCCTACAATATTGACAGAATTATGCCCCTTTTTAACTTAGAAATTTTGGTTAAAGTTTTTTGTAAAGTCAAATATCTCAATAATTACTTGAGATATTCAATTGAAACTTACGATACTTATTTATAGTAACAAGGTACATCAGATTGACAAGTGAGATAACTCTGTCTACAATATTGACAGAATTATGCCCCTTTTTTAACTTAGAAATTTTGGTTAAAGTTTTTTGTAAAGTCAAATATCTCAACTATTGCTTGAGATATTCAATTGAAACTTACAATACTTATTTATAGTAACAAGGTACATCAGATTGACAAGTTGGATAACTCTGCCTACAATATTGACAGAATTATGCCCCTTTGGAACTTAGAAAATTTTGGTTAAAGTTCTTTTGTAAAGTCAAATATCTCAATTATTGCTTGAGATATTCAATTGAAATTTAAAATACTTTTTTATAGTAACAATGTACATCAGTTTGCAAAATTGCATAACTCTGCCTGCAAAATTTGAAGAATTATTTGCCCCTTTGAAACTTAGAAATTTTGGTTAAAGGTTAAAGGTCTTCAAAGATATTTACTTGAATGTTGAACTTGAATAGCTCGACTATTCGAAGAATATGAGAGCTATTGTAGTCGCCCCGGCGTCGGCGTCGGCGTCGGCGTCCGCGTCGGCGTCTGCGTTGGTTAAAGTTTTTTGTAAAGTCAAATATCTCAATTATTACTTGAGATATTCAATTGAAATTTAAAATACTTTTTTATAGTAACAATGTACATCAGTTTGCAAAATTGCATAACTCTGCCTGCAAAATTTGAAGAATTATTTGCCCCTTTGAAACTTAGAAATTTTGGTTAAAGGTTAAAGGTCTTCAAAGATATTTACTTGAATGTTTACACATGCACTTAGGGTCATAATTGGAGGGTCATAATTGTATGTCACTGACCAAGTTTCATAACTCTATCTTGCATTAAGGCTGATTCATATCCCCTTTTCTACTTAGTCTCTTGGTTAATGTTAACATGCAAGTTTTTACATATCTCAATAACTATTAAAGATATTTATTTAAAACTTCACATATGCATTTAGGGTCATAATTGTAGGTCACTGACAAAGATCCATAATTCTATCTTGCATTTAGGCTGATTTTTCTCCCTTTTTCAACTTAGAAATTCATGGTAAAGTTTTGCTTGTAAGCTGAGTGTTATCTCAATTACTACTGAAGGGTTTGTGCCTTTTTTGGGACAATTTTATGCATTCATAATAATAAAGCAGTGATTTACTTGATTAAACATCTTAATTAAGTATTATTATACTCAATAAAACAACCTTGTGACATTACCTTACGAATAGTCAAGCCAATACTGTATAATTAGACTCTCTCTAAGGCCTATAACATGAATTTATTAAAAAAAAATTAGACCTTTTGTGATCTTAAAAAATTTAACATTATCAAGGCTCTTTTACTATCAAGCACTTAGAATAGTCGAGCGTGCTGTCCTTCCGACAGCTCTTGTTTTGTAGCATATAACTTTATTCATTATATATCGTAACCCTAGCCTGAAACAGACAAATGTTATCTATATATTTATGATGTTCATTCTATAAGAGAGAAAAGATTGTACATAGTACATTTGGATGGTTGTAAGTTATATCAACGTAAAATTTTACTTGTTTTCAGCATTTAAAGACAAATACTGCTTGTATTTCAGTAGCAATGTAAATTGTATGAACATTTATTACATGAAGAACAGCACAGCATTTTATTTACAGACTTAAACAAATGTACATCATCTTGTTAACAAAGATTTGATTAAACATAGTCACATGGCATATGAAAACATACAAATTATAAACAACTTTTTAAAATAAATGAACAATGATTTAAGAGGACAAACTTCATGCAAGAAGATAATAACAATTCAATTATGTTAAGAGTTAAGGATTGTGTTTCTAAACGATAAAGATTCTTGGATATATTTTGTTAACTTCATTAAAACAGTTTTATATTGCATTGAAAGCAGATCTGTAAATTTGAACACAGAGGGTGTAACATAATACAAATGTATCATTTGTTTAGGTACTGCATTTGTAAACTGCATACACATATAAAGTGATACTCATCTTCAACGTATGAATTTTTATTACAGAAGATTTGCTCAATGAACGTGACTCAGGAAACAAACTTGGTATGGACACTCTTGATGAAATGGCAGATAAAGAGAAGTTCTTCAGGGTATGCTTATTGTATTAAAATCTACCCTTACCTACTAAATTTCTTAAATTGGCCTACCCATCTTTCAGTGTAGACAAAACCAATCAGATTTTTTAGGGATAATTTCAAAATACATACTGACTGAATATCAAACAGTGCAGACTGTGATAAGATGCTGCAATGGCTGATCTTGGTCTGTACTGGTCACCTGGGTAGATTTTGTTTCCTGCCAGCAGGCTAATATTTTAAAGGGTGTAAAGCTATTCCTGATGAAACTGAATCATTAATGAGACTAAATCTTTTAAAAGTTGTACAGTTCATATTCTTACTGTTATATCTTGCTTATATATAAAGACAGAATCACCTTAGACAAAGTTAAAGATTACCAAAACATTCAACTGTATTTTGAGAATGTAAATTGATGCTTTCATGCATGCTCTTTTAATTTAGTTACTTTGGTATGAAGATGTAAATCTTAGGTATGAAGATGTAAACAGATTTTCTACCAGTTGTTATCAGTTTAATATACATGTACTGTGAATGAGTTCTTATACATGTATCTTGGTTTCATTTCTGTGCTTAAAATCTCAACAATAGTATGACTTAGACTTGAAGCTGAGAAAAATACTTTAGTGAGAGCAGTTTGTGATTATTACTTGGATTGATAAGCTTAAATAGTATGCTAAACACTTGTTTTAATTTGTCTTAAAGTCAATCTTCCTACATCTGTATGTTTTTTTGTTTTTTTTCAAGTAATTTATATTATTAGTTATAAAGATCATTGACAGGTTATATGGCCCTATATAAACGGCTATTTGTAAATATAACCCGAGCCTTTAGGCGAGGGTAATATTGCAAACAGCTATTTATATACGGCCATATAACCTGTCAACAATCTTTATAACAAATTTATAATACAGCAAGCATCATTTTTAGAGAAAAAAAGTAAGATTTCTTTGTGAATCGACAGCAGCCGTGTATATAAAACTATTTTAACATCACGATAATCATTATCCAATGAAAAATGACGTTACAAATGTGCAGTGTTATAAAGTTTAATATATGAATTTATTTTAGTTTGATTGTGTTGGAAGCTATAAGCTTATTGAAACACTTTTCAAACCAACCAGTACTAAGCAATGAATGTAAAGTTTCTTGCTCAAGGAAACAACGGCTTGCTCCTGACAGGGTTTGAACTTGCGCGGTCAGCAATCCTTGGATTACTAGTCCGCTAGGTAACAACTTGGCCATGCCACCACTCTAAGAAATTTATATAAAGAACTTGGCAAAATAATAGACAAACAATTTTAACCAGTGCAAATCAAGGTCAATCATTCCTTTCATCTTCATAGGGTTTGATATAACTAACTTTTCTGAAAAGACTGGCCCAAAAGTATAGAAAAACAACAAAAAAACATTAATATTTGAATCATTATAATTTAGGATCTTGAGAAGAATGCTGATGGTACAATAGACTATGGAAGGTTAAATCGTGACCTCAGTGCTACAGCTAACACAATGTCACCAGAGGGCGCTGCTAGGACGGCAGCAACATTGGCCGCACTACAGGACATGGAGGACGAAGTGGAAGATGTGCCACCACGTCCCGAGACCGGCCATGAAATACAATCAGAACGGGTAATTTTACATCTGTGTCTTTTACATTTTAGTTGAAATTTTTTATAGATAATGTTTCTAAATAAAATCTTCAGTTTAAGCTAACCTTAGATGTACATGTATATACAATTGTATATGCTTGTAAACGAATCACTTATTATACCCCCAAAAACGAAGTTTGGGGGGGTATATAGGAGTCACCCGGTGGTCGGTTGGTCGGTCGGTCGGTCGGTCGGTCGGTCCAGACGTCCGTTGCATTTTCCTTGTCCGGACCATAACTTGAAGACTAATGGTTGGAATTCAATATAACTACATACAATGGTCAAGCACATTGAGAGGAAGTGCAGTGCACAAGAACCATAACTCTATCTTGACTAATTACAGAGTTATTGCCCTTTGTTACTTTTCCTTGTCCGGGGCATAACTTGAACACTACTGGTTGGAATTCAAAACAACTTCATACAATTGTCAAACACAATAAGGGGAAGTGCAGTGCACAAGAACCATAACTCTATCTAAAGTAATTACAGAGTTATTGCCCTTTGTTACTTTTCCATTGCTTTCTTTTGTCCGGACCATAACTTGAAGACTAATGGTTGGAATTCAATATAACTACATACAATGGTCAAGCACATTGAGAGGAAGTGCAGTGCACAAGAACCATAACTCTATCTTGACTAATTACAGACAGAGTTATTGCCCTTTGTTACTTTTCCTTGTCCGGGGCATAACTTGGACACTACTGGTTGGAATTCAAAACAACTTCATACAATTGTCAAACACAATAAGGGGAAGTGCAGTGCACAAGAACCATAACTCTATCTAAAATAATTACAGAGTTATTGCCCTTTGTTACTTTTCCATTGCTTTCTTTTGTCCGGACCATAACTTGAAGACTAATGGTTGGAATTCAATATAACTACATACAATGGTCAAGCTCATTGAGAGGAAGTGCAGTGCACAAGAACCATAACTCTATCTTGACTAATTACAGAGTTATTGCCCTTTGTTACTTTTCCTTGTCCGGGGCATAACTTGAAAATTACTGGTTGGAATTCAAAACAACTTCATACAATTGTCAAACACAGTAAGGAGAAGTGCAGTGCATAAGAACCATAACTCTATCTAAAGTAATTACAGAGTTATTGCCCTTTGTTACTTTTCCATTGCTTTCTTTTGTCCGGAGTATAACTTGAAGACTAATTGTTGGAATTCATTATAAACTTCATACAATGGTCAAGCACATTGAGAGGAAGTGCAGTGCACAAGAACCATAACTCCATCTTGACTAATACAGAGTGACTGCCCTTTGTTACTTTTCCATTGCTTTTTTTTCCGGAGCATAACTTAGACTAATGGTTGGAATTCAATATAACTTCATACAATGGTCAAGCACATTGAGAGGAAGTGCAGTGCACAAGAACCATAACTCCATCTTGACTAATTACAGAGTTATTGCCCTTTGTTACTTTTCCTTGTCCAGAGCATAACTTGAAAACTACTGTTTGGAATTCAATACAACTTCATACAGTTGTCAAGGACATTAAAAGGAAGTGCAGTGCATAAGAGCCATAACTCCATTTTGACAAAATACAGAGTTACTGCCGATACTTTTCCTTGTCTGGAGCATAACTTAAAACATACTGGTTGAAATTCAAAACAACTTCATACAATGGTCAAGCACAAAAAGAGGAAGTGCAGTGCACAAGAACTATAACTACATCTTCAGTATTTATAGAGTTATTGCCCTTTGTTCCTTTTCTTTGTCTTTCTGGACTTATTACAGAGTAATTCAATAAAACTTCATCAATGGCCAACCACATTGAAAGGAAATGCAATATACAAGAACCACAACTATCTTTAATTGCCCACAACCATAACTCTATATTTCAATTCTTTTACAAGGTATTCTGTTACTAGTAACATCCTCATTTCCGAAGCAGTCTTGTGGGGGGTATTAATCACATTTAGTGATAGTTCTAGTTTTTATTGTTTAATGTTTCATTTTTATTGTTAAATGTTTTACTTTACCAAAGTTCTCTTGTTATGTTTAAACTTAACATGTTCAGAAGTTCGAAAGCCATTATTGAAACAATATCTCTGCATTTTCAGGAACATTCTGAGCAAAAACCAAGCATGTTGTCTAAAGGTTAGTATTTTTGTTTTGTCCTGATATTTAACAAAAAAACTTGATTTGAGAAAAGTTTTCATTGGTTTCCTCTGTATTGACATTAAATTAACACTTTTTTGTTTCTGTTTATTTTAACAAAAAATAAGTTTAAAACTTATCATTCTAAATAGATTCATGGTCATAAATGTAGTGATGTTTGGTGGTTTGTTTTATAAATTTTTTTATCATATTAATCTTCCCAAAAATGATAACTGGAAGTTTGACAAGTCCATTAAAAAATTTCAGCAGGTTGAGACTTAAGAATTCTTTCAATCTTTTTTGCAACTTCATAAATGTTATAAAAGTTGATTGTGATGAAGCATGTTATAGAATATTTCAGTTTTAAGATATAAATTACTTCATAGCCTTGCAGATAAATTCTATTGATCGGTAAACTTGTTCTATTGTTATATTATGGATTTCATTTCCTCGGACTGAAAGACAAGTTTTATTTCAGTTTCCCTAATGGATTCTTTGGAATCTACCATGAACACAACAACTTCCCCTCAGGTGGGGAAGGGTACAATGAGAGATGTGCTGGAGGAGGATGAGGATCAACATGTAGACAACTTCAGACCAAGTCATAGTGGCCCTGAAACTCTTAAAACTGTTACAGGTTTGTTTAACATTTACTTATATAAAAATCTAGAAGAAGGGTGAACCCTTTGAAGCATTATTCATGTGAGAAAGCTATCCAGCTAGCTTACGGAACATATGTGGTTCTATTCAGGGGCACTATCCCGCCTGAAATAATGCACAAAAGGGCACCTTCAGTCTTCCTCAAGCAGTAACGCTGAAAAGTTGCCATTTGACCTTTACTGTGTTGGTGAGACGTAAAATCCAAAGCAACTAAGCAGTACCATACAAAATGCACATTTTGTGTGAAACATAATATTGTTTAGTAAACATTAATTTTATTGCTTAAAAATTGACAGTCTTCTCTTTGCTTTGCATTGAAAAAATCTTTGATTTTGATTTCCATTAAGTTAACAATGAACAAATGAAAGTTCTTATGGCCTTTGTAGCCAAATGACTTTCCAGCTTGCTTTAGGAAGGTTGATGGTTGATGGTTCAAGTAAGATGTTCGATGTTTGTTTTGCCTCCAAAATAATGTATAAGGGTACACTAGAGGCCTTCCTCGACATGTAAAGATTAAACTTCTCTGTATGATCTTTACAGTGTTGATGTAACTTAGAACTGAACAAAACAAACAAAAAAACAAAACAAAAAAAGGCCCGTTTTTAATTGTAAAGTTCATTACACATAAATTCTTAAGTATCCAGTGTGTGTGGGAGCTAAAACACAATGTTGAAATAAATTTTTTATGTCCTAATCCTTGGCCTGCAGGCAGTAACAGATTTTACCCACGCAACCAGTTAGACCAATATTAGCCGTCACATCCTTGCTGCCGAAACTTGGTCTGCGCAGCACTGTTTGCTATTCAATCAGTAAATATTTTGAAATAGTCCCAAATAATGTTAAATGATTTTGTCTAGATTTGTTTTTGTCCATATTGATTGATTGTCAAGTCCATTTTAGATAATTAGTGTGGTATTGATTCATGAAAACTTTATTATATACATGTAGGTATGATAGGTACAAACACGAGTCAGGAGATCGAGGCACTCCACAATGCACTAGAGAAACTTGGACTCTCCGCTACCATAGGTAATGACAGCATGCTGGATCTGTCCTCGCAGGGAGACAAAGGGACCGAGGATCTTGTCAAGAAGCTACTGAGTACCACTGATGGTAATATATTTGAATCGTTGATATTTAATACAAAATACTTGTTTGAAGATGAAATGTTCATATTCTATTTTGGTTACTTAACTATTGCAGTGTTGCATGTAAATCCAACAAAAAAAAAAAAAAGAAGAAGAAGAAAAGCATTATTCTTAAGGATATACAGCGTTTAGATATTTTGAAATTTTGTTACCATTTTTATCAATATTTTTTCCAGATTATTCAATCATTTATGATAAGAAAGCTGTTAATTCATATTAATTTACTCTCAAATATGCATCTTATAATGCAAAAGACATAACATGAGAGGCACACTTAAGTTATAAAGCATCCACTCCAAATTTAGTTAAATTGATATTATTGATGTCTAATTTACTAACATTTCTATACCTTTATGATTTCAAATTAAAGGAAAACAAAGAAATGTGGCTGAGATAATGAAAGAGTTAGAAGATTTACAGATTAAAGCTGGCCGTGATGACCAATCCTCACCAGATTCCAGAAAGAGTCCAAAAGGTACATGATGTTTATATCATTTTATGAGTAACACTTAACCAGCTGGAAAGGTTAAGAAAAGAGTCAATTAAGCCAGCTTTGTGCAGTCTAACCAGGCTTAATGGGACTCCACTGAGGTTATTTAGAAATTCTCTCCGTTATGAGGTTATTTGATATAAGGGACGTCAAAAATAATAGAGATTAATGTTTCATTTGATGCAGGTCTAGAACCATATCCTGTGTACAAAATTTCGGCTGGTTCACTCTGTCTATTTTTCCAGAATAATTTTTCGTATTTTGCAAAAATATCCAAATTGGAAAGCGTTGCAATGCTTTTCACTTAAATCAGGCTAAGAATAGCACACAAATAGGATTTTCAAATTAAACTGAGTATATCTCTTGATTATCTTTTGTGATATTGTGATTTTGCTGATTTATGTAGTAAATTTAAATTTTTTTTTTTTTGGCTTTTGAAACTCAGAGGAGTGTCTTTATTAATACTTATTGTTGACCACTTTAAAATGCAATTTGATTTTCTCAAATTGATAATGAACAGTTAAAAAATTGAAGCCCATTTAAGAATTTAAGCAAGTTAAGTGTTAAGCTAATATCTTTGTCATATACAACAGTTACATGTACATGTTGTATGTTAATATGGTTGACAGACTTATTTTAACCTAGAATGCTGTGAAACTTTGTAAAGCCAAAAGTCTTGTAAGTGACTGTTAAAATCTTGGAAGCTAAAAAGTTTCACATTGCTCTCTTAGAACTTTTGTTCTAAATTTTCATTTATGATGAAAAACAAAGTGTGATTACATAAAAAATAGTGTCTGACCTAAAATGTAGTAACTTGTAACTTCCCTATAAAATTGATAGGGCTAGTAAATTGGTATGTTGGTAAATTGATAGGGCTGGTAAATGGGTATACTTGGTAAATTGATAGGGCTTGTAAATGGGTATGTTGGTAAATTGATAGGGCTGGTAAATGGGTATGTTGGTAAAGCTAGAAAATTGATGAAGCTTGTAAATTTTGAAAGATTGGTAAAATTGGTTTATTGAGGGTTATCACAATGAAATCAAATCATTTTCTTTCAATCTAATTACTAAGGCATTGTATGCATTGAAAACTTCATAGAATTTCTATTTCTATTATTATTCTTATTTTATAATATCTTGTTTTGTATTATTATTCCTATGATATATTATTAGTCATAACTTAATGATATTTTAGTTATTGAAAGACAGAAACATGTAGACATAGATGCAGAGGAACTTCGGGGTTTCAACCTCTCACCTGCCCGACCCTTCCCAGTGGAGCAGGACTACTCACAGCGGGGTGATAGTTCCCATCGTGGTGATAGCTCACATAGGGGAGGTGATAGCTCAATGAAGGGAGGGTTTGATACCTCCCATACTGAAGATACTGAGATGTATAGGCCCGTGATAGAAGTGGTAAATATTTACTTCATATTTTTGAAAATCTTTTTCTTCTTTGAGAAACTGATATTTGGAAAAAGTGATCATGAATTAGTTGTGAAGTGCACAGTTAGTGTTTGCTATGTTAACTGATTGTTTCATTAGAAATCAAAAGATTTTTTTTTTTTTTGAAGATATTTTTGCTATTTATCACTGTATATTGTGGTGATACTATTTAGAACATCTACACATACGCAAATACTTACATAAGCATTGTATTAAAACTATACATGTATTTAAGGAACTGATTTACTGATTTTAGAAAATGATTTTTAGATAAAGTTGTTTGCTTTTACGTTTGTTTTAGAAATATGCATTTAGACGTTTTAAAAGTGTCTTTCATTTTAGATATTTGCTAAATGTAAATACATGTTAATCATTCTTTTCTCATTTATATATCATTTCTTATTACTTCATTTGATTTATTGTATTGTCTTTTGTATACTTTCTCTTTAGTTTTACCTGTTATTTATTACCTTTTTATTTCATTAATCCATATATATTATCTCATATGTACATTATCTCATTAACTTATTATTCATTTGTTTATTATCTCATTCACTCATTACATTTTAATGCATTATGTAATTCACTTAGTACCTCATTAATGCATTATCTCATTCACTTATTACCTCATTCATGCATTATCTCATTCACGTATTACCTCATTTATACATTATCTCATTCAAGTATTACATCATTTGTTATAATCCCACTCAAATCATTACCTGATTTGTTTATTATCTTATTCAAATATCATCTTGTTGGTTATTATCTCATTTACTTATTATCTCATTCATATTTTTACCTCATTTGTA